TGGAGAAGAGGGAGCCGAAACACCACTAGAAGGAGCCCCCTCCCCCCAAAAAATGCACCACTAGGAGGAGAAACTATTCTGTCTTGTGCTGGGATGTCATTTCAATTTACTCTCTATTTAACTGTTTTTGTACCTATGCCCAACCACATTATTGGTTCAGTTAAATTAGCTCTTTTACCATGGCGAGAAACCAGACTTGTATTCTCTGTCCAACCATTTAATTATTATTTGTTAAACTTCTGTTGTGGAATTTTTCAATCCAACTATTTGATTCTTATTTCTTAAACTTCTTTTGTGGAAGTCTCTAGCTTTTTCTATATCTTTTTTAAATGTTATTTTGCATGTTTGCAGGAGATAGTTTCCATCTACCCTGTTTTGTCACCACCAAACCTGTCTCCTGCTCAATCCAATAGAGTTTGTAATGCACTAGCACTTCTTCAGGTATAGAAACTTCTTTTCCTTGTGGTTTTTTTTCTTGATACTGTTTCTATTATTCATTCTTGTTGGTGATCTTTAAAGTAATGAGTTATTATCATTATATGATTTCTTAATAATGATTAGATCTCAGCAGTAGGATATAGAAAATTGTATAGGTGTGGGATTGTGGTTTATGTATCAAGAAAGGTGAAGGAGTGGTTATGCACTGGACTGGAAGGTGCTCAAATTTTCATTTTATTGACATGCTATAAATATTAGTTGGCAATACCTGTTAATAGTGAAGTAGTTTTAAGTTTTTATTATTTACCTGATCAAAGAAAAAGTTTTGAGTTTTATTATTATTACATGGAGCAAATTGCATGTCAAAGATCAGGTTTTAATAGTAGTGTAACTGCTTTTTCAGGGTAATCTTATTCACAGTATGCCTCCATTATTTAGTTTTTTTGCAAGTCAAATCTTATACTGTTTCCTAATGAAACTGCCTTCAATTGCTTTGTATTTTGCAGTGTGTAGCCTCTCACCCTGACACCAGAATGTTGTTCCTCAATGGTAAAGATTCTGTTTCTTCTTTTCTTTTTTCTTTTTTCTTTTAAATTGTTGTAGCTGTTTCTCAATTGCAATCAGCTTGGCCTTTTTGATATACAAAAAAAGCCTTTTCTGGCTGCTCTTTTAGGTGGAATGTCATTGGAGAGAAGATGACAATATCCATAAACATCCTATTGTATATGGATACATGATTGGCCTGTCTTTGCTTGATACGGATCATTAACCTGTTCAGTTGATATAATTCCTTGACAGCATTGTTATTGTCTTGTTTCTTATATTTGTTCAAGTGCAGGAACGCTAGAAGTTGTTTTATGTTGTTATGTAAATCGTTACTTCTGTTGATTTGCAGTTGTTCATGAATGCAAAGTGTTTCTCTTAACAATGTCACAGATACAATTCTTAAAACCCCTCATTTACCTTATCCCAAAACAAAAAAAAATATTCTTAAAACCCCTCATTTACCTTATCCCAAAACAAAAAAAAATATTCTTAAAACCCCTCATTTACCTTATCCCAAAACAAAAAAAAATATTCTTAAAACCCCTCATTTACCTTATCCCAAAACAAAAAAAAATATTCTTAAAACCCCTCATTTACCTTATCCCAAAACAAAAAAAAATATTCTTAAAACCCCTCATTTACCTTATCCCAAAACAAAAAAAAATATTCTTAAAACCCCTCATTTACCTTATCCCAAAACAAAAAAAAATATTCTTAAAACCCCTCATTTACCTTATCCCAAAACAAAAAAAAATATTCTTAAAACCCCTCATTTACCTTATCCCAAAACAAAAAAAAATATTCTTAAAACCCCTCATTTACCTTATCCCAAAACAAAAAAAAATATTCTTAAAACCCCTCATTTTTACATCTCTTATACACAGGCACTTGCTTCGTGCTTTTCACTTAATAAAATTCTTATTTACTTGTCAAACACAGACAGTCAAAAAATAAAACCCAAATAGTATCAAATTAGTATCACTTGACATTCACTTGATAAGTCTTTAGAGGAGAACTGGAATTTGATTTTCACATGAAAACACTATACTTGGATGTATGTTATCCATTACTCAGGAAAAAAATTATACATTTTTCTTGGAATTCACAGCTGTCAAGTTATAGAGACTGTCCTGCCTCGGCAGTCGCTGATGTCCATAAAGAGGAGGAAAATTACATGTTTGTGGCCTTAGGTTCATTGAAGCACTGGGTAGTGCAACACAGTCCTAGATATACTATCCCGGCCCCCATATTATTCATGTAAAATGCTTTGTAACCTTCAAAAACTAATACATATTGTAAAAAAGAACCAAATAGATGGAGTTTATATTGTTGATGTGTTTCCGAGATCTGGATCGACCTCAGTTCGATGATAATCATAATTGTGATCCATCATAGTTGTGATCTTTTGTTGCTTTCCTTGATAAATCCTTCTGACTGTTTCGTACTTTGCAGCGCATATTCCGTTGTATTTGTACCCTTTTCTTAATACAACAAGCAAGTCAAGACCTTTTGAATATCTGAGGCTTACTAGCTTAGGTGTCATTGGTGCCCTGGTGAAGGTAATAAGTCTGCTGAATTTCATGCATCTTTTTCTCTTTCAGTGTTAGTGTTATTAAGGTTTTGTTCATGATCATATCTACTGGGAATGACAGTCTATGAGAAGGAAACCGTGATTAGTTATAATTTCAGGAGCTCAAGATGCTGTTTATGGAATCTTTCCCTGCCTTAATCCATTATTGTTCTAAAGTTCAGGGTACTCTGTTTCTTTTGATTTTTTCTGTGCAGGTTGATGACACTGAAGTTATCAGCTTTCTCCTATCGACAGAGATAATTCCCCTGTGCTTGCGTACGATGGAGATGGGGAGTGAACTGTCAAAAACAGTGAGTGCTTCCTCAATGACAGTTTCCGACCATATCCTCCCTTGTTGATCAGATTTTCATGCATCTAATTTGCGCATGCTGACAGGTTGCAACTTTCATAGTGCAAAAAATCCTTCTAGATGATGTGGGTCTGGATTACATCTGTGCCACAGCTCAGAGGTTTTTTGCAGTAGCCCAAGTTTTAGGGAATATGGTTGGTGCACTCGCTGAACAGCCTTCATCAAGACTGCTGAAACACATAATTAGGTGCTATCTTCGCTTGTCAGATAATGTTAGGTTAGTTTTCTGTATATCACCATCCCAGTTTTCCTTTCAGCTTGCTTATGTGTAATATATCACAGCCCTCTCGTGTCTGCCCTTTTTTATGGGCTAAAACTGATATGCACTGGTTATGGTAGGGCATGTGATGCACTGAGAAATTGTCTTCCGGATATGCTTAGAGATACCACCTTCAGCAGTTGTCTTCGTGTACGTAATGCTTGTAATCTAAGTAGCTTCCCACCCCCAACCTGCTTCTCCCATAAAACATGAAGCATTCTTTTTCTGGTGTTAGACCTTTTCTTTTTCCTCGTATCGTTGATTGAGTGTGCCCATTGTGCTTGTCAGGAGGATCCAACAACGAGGAGGTGGCTACAGCAGTTGATCCATAATGTTAGTGTGTCTCGGGTTTCTTTGCAGGCTGGAGGTTTTGATCATATGCTGGTGAATTCACTGAGTTCACACAACTAGAACTTAATTGAGACTTCCTTGGATCTTTCACTGAGTCCCACATTGGTGGCTTGGTTGGAGTATTTAAGGCGTATAATAGGAATGCCTATCTTTACGCGTATTGCCATAGCGTATTTTGTGAATTTTGGAGATTGGCAACGTTATTATTTGCTACAAAAAGGAGATCAATAATGTTTTTAGACAATCTAGCAAACTTTATTTATGCAGATATGGATTTAGTTCTCCTTGATGAGATATAAAGGTGAGAAAGCTCAGTGCATTTACTGAGTAGACTTCCCTGATTAATGAATTCCTTTCATTTTGCTTTAATAGAAATATTATATGGGTGACAAGTTTTAATATTAAATTGAGGGATCATTCATGGAAGTTTAATCCCTTGCATTCTCTTTTTGAGCCGAGGGTTTGTCGAAAACAACCTCTCTACCTTACAAACGTAGGGGTAAAATTACATACGCACTACCCTCTTCAGACCCCCCTTGTGTAATTTTATTGGATATGTTGTGTTGTTAAGCTTAGCAACAAAAGGTGGGGAATATCACCAGAGACGGAACTACGGAACTAGGATTTGATGTTTATGAGTTCTGAATTTATTACCGAACCCATAGTTTGTTTTAGTTATTGGATTTGCAATTAAATATTTATACATATTTTATGAATTTTCTAATACAAATATAAGATTTAAGCAAAAATTATTGGGTTCGTCCGAATCCGCAACTAATTCTCTCCCTCCGCCCCTGAATGTCATAGTACATAGTATAAAAACATGCCAACTCCATTCCTTACCTCGATGACCTTCAGGATAGACCAAATGTTTTTACTTACACTCGAGACTTAGATTATGTTTGTATTGCTATGTGGTCAAAATGGATTTCAACCTGATCTTAAATTGAAACTTAATTTTTTTTCTTAATCTTAGCTCTGTGCTATAAATTACTATAATACTATCAAATATATAAATAAAATTATTTGTTAACATATAAATTACCTCTTTTGTAGAAATTCAGAGGGAGAAGAAGATGCAATTTATGAAAAGTTACACTATCAAATATATAAATAAAATTATTTGTTAACATATAAATTACCTCTTTTGTAGAAATTCAGAGGGAGAAGAAGATGCAATTTATGAAAAGTTACACTATCAAATATATAAATAAAATTATTTGTTAACATATAAATTACCTCTTTTGTAGAAATTCAGAGGGAGAAGAAGATGCAATTTATGAAAAGTTACAATTCCCACCACAAAATAGTATACCTATATTCCTTCATTTATATTATTTTTTTATCGGAAGACCGAGAACTAATTATCGATACTTTGGACTATTTGCACACATTCTTTGTGAAATGGTTCATGCATATTTGTTGTCAGGAACAACAAGATCAAGTTGACAAGTACAAAATTGACAAAGCTTCCATAACTTCAATTTCATAAACTAAGGTCGTTCAGTTGCAAAACGAGATATCTAGGAATTAAAAATCTCAAGATTATAATCTGGAGGTAGTTAATCCCACATCTAATATGTAATAGTTAATACCACTATATTGGTATAAAATATATATTGTATTAGGTAATACCCATAACCAAATATATAGTATTAAAACAAAAAAAACAAAAAGCAGTTGCTATTACATTTCAGCTGTGACAGTCAATACTTGCGATCGCCGGAAAATTGCGCGATGATGACGGAAGCAAATAGGCTACCGGCGGAAGAAATCACAAACACGGCGACATACGTAACGGCAGTAGAGGAACTATTGAAGTATCGATTCAAGAACACGAAGCTTCTAGAAGAAGCTCTAACTCACACTTCCTGTAATTCTTCTTCAGCTTCTAATAATTACCAGCGGCTCGCTTTCGTCGGCGACGCAGCTCTCGGCTTAGCCATTTCCAGTTATTTCTTCTCGATTTACCCGGACGTCGACTGCGGTAAGCTCACTGACCTCCGCGCCGCCAACGTCAGCACCGAAAAGCTCGCTAGAGTCGCCGTCCGCCACGGTCTCTACAACTACCTCCGCCGCAATTCACCGATCCTCGATGAAAAGGTACATAAATACTCATTTTAAAAGTGTTTATTCCCTTTATTTTCATTTTATTTATTATTATTCTTAGTTTGATTGGGCATAGCGTTTAAAAATGTTAAAAAGTTTTTGAATCTTATGGTCTTAAACAAGACGTGTACAGGTCATTTCATTCCACAAGGAGTGTCATTAAGGAAATGAGAATATTGGAATTTAAAACTTATAAACTACTATATATAGAAATGTGATATTCTTTTCCAAACAGACTAAAAGGAAAGTACTACACGAAACAAAAAGAATAACTTATATGCATAATGTAGCAGATAGCCTGGAGTTATCTATTAAGCATCTTATAAAGAGTTAGAGTGTATAGAAATTAAAACTTTTTAAAAAACTTTTAACAAATCCACCTACTGATCAGACATTGTTTAGGGGGTAATTTATGTATGTCCCATAAAAACTTAAATACATGAAGGAAGGGAACATGACACTTTACCACTTCATATTATAAAAGAAGGGGAGACATGCCTTCCCCTTTTCGCTTTAAGGTCTTTAGATATATATATATACACACACACTCATCTAGATGAGTGCTCAAAGTACAGTTTAACCATCTAAGCTGTGAGGACTCCTCCACTTTACAAAGTAACTAGCTTTACAAAAGTAAAACAAAGTAGAAAACTAATAACTTGGGGGAACTCCTCCCAATTACTATATGGATATAAAACCAAGTTTCCGAAAATTTAAGTCCTTTGGTTTGGATTGTCTAGTTTTAAAATTGGGCTGTTGCATCTTGTCCAATATGTATGGCCCTTTTGCTTCCTTGTGCAAGTCTTCAAACTTTGAAAGCCGTACTTGTTTAAGATAGTGAAAATTCCAGTTAGCCATAGCATATGGCACTTCATTTGCCTTCAGTAACAGTGTGTCATTGCGCATTTCCTTGGCTCAAGATCCGTTGAACTAATTGCAATAGTTCTTTTGCGGAATTGTAATAGAAGGGACTTTGAATTTGGGCATAGGTGAAAGAATTCGTGATAGCAGTGCAACATGAGGCGGAGATGGAGTTCTATGGAGGAGTGATGAAAGCGCCAAAAAATCTTGCAGACATTGTGGAGTCGGTCATGGGAGCTGTATATGTGGATTGTGGCTTCGATGTCAATGCTTTCTGGGTGGTCAGTCTCTTTCTTACTATTTAAGTTTGTGTTGGCCATGGATCTTGTAAAAGCTCTCTTTTCTTTTTCCTTTCTGTATGTAAAGTATTAACGAATTAATCAACTATGCCTAAAACCGAAATAGTTAGGTTGGCTATGCTCATTCTCTATATTTATTTCTCTGGATTTCTAATATAGCTTGAAAATGTAATTATGTGGAATTAAAGAGTTGAGTCTCACAGGCTTGTTGGCTATTAGCAAGTGCTTACGATTTACAGGCTCAATGTTAGTATACAAGGGGTTTTAACTGTTATTTATCGAACATGTTTTCACAAACACCTAGTTATCTTTGTAAACTTTGCATCGAACTGACTCAAGCCATACTCCTGTTTAATATTTGGTAATTTTGCTGCAGGCAGGAGTGATATTTGGTAATGCTTTTTATGTGTCATTCTCCAATGTTGAAAGAAACGATTAAGATGTATTCCTAAAACAAGAATTTTAATTGTAATTCTTTTGGGTGTTTTACTGAAACTCTTATCCGTGCAATTAAATGTTGTGCTGGTATTTGGAATGTCGTTTTATGTTTGTTCTGATGTATGATTACTCATTTGAATTAGCAAGGTTTTAAAGGGGTGTGTGTGTGTGTGTGTGTGAGAGAGAGAGAGAGAGAGAGCAAACAAGGTTACAAGTTGAAATTTGAATTTATACAGATATTGAGAAATAAAAAGTGAGTTTGCATGAAGAAAGGCTTCTCATATTTTGGGTTTGTATCATTGGAAATCAAATGGGGAAGGGAAGAAATAATGAGGTATTACATTGTGGAAATTTGGCAATTAATTCAAAATGAAAAATCATGAAAGCCAATTCGAAATTTGAGCGGTTAACGTTTTAGCTTCCACCTGACCCCACATCAGTAAACAGATGTAGCATTTCTTTCTGTCCTCCAATAGTAGACTTATTTCAGAGATTTCATCAAGGTCTTAGGAATTCAGTTTTATTTTCTTTACCTAAAAATGGTCCATTCTTGCCTTTCAAATAGAAATGATTTCGTGATGTTTAGATTTTTTAGTTGCCTTTTTGTGTTAGATCTTTAGAGGCCTACTCGAGCCTATCATCATGCTGAATATGTTGAAAGAACAACCACAGCCTGTAACAATGCTATTTGGACTTTGCAATAAGGATGGAAAACAAGTTGAGGTAGAACATCGGAAAGAGGGAGATAAAAACATTGCTAGCGTCTATGTTGATGGACAATTTATTGCATCAGCTTCTTCTGAGCACAAAGAGAATGCAAAGCTTCAAGTTGCAAAGGCTGCTCTTAAAGAGTTGTTCTATGACCCTTATGATAAGATGGACGTTGAACTTGTTCCATCTCAGAAAAAAAAGACAAATGTTGACTTTTCTCCATTTCAGAAAATAAAGATGGATGTCGAATTTGACCCAACAAAAGAGAGTGAAGGAGCAAAGCAGAAACTGAATGAGCTTTGTGGAAGAAAGAAATGGTCCAAACCAAGTTACAGGTTAACCTTTTACTTTGAGTGTAGTTGTTCTCATGAGTAAACTTAGTGCCATTTTTATCAGATATCTGTCCAGTGGAAAAAGTTAGTGCTCGTTGCACTTGTACTGAATCTGTAGCTGCAAGCACAAATTATATTATCAAGTTTAACATGCTTAACATGTTGTACCAGGGAATCCTAGTATTATATTCTTAATGTTGTCTGTATATCTGTTTGTCACTTCAGTATTGGAAATTAGGGCAAGAGATTGTTGCCGCAAGATCAAACTGTGACTTGATATTGAGCTGTGAAACTACCAATTTTCTCTACTAGAAATAACTTTAAGGTTTGATTGCATCTTGCATGGAATGGGTTAATAGATAAATAAGAGCACTAAGACAGATTTAGAATTACGTCATTCATCGACGTACACATATATGCTGCTTATACTTTTTGGACGGACAGCATAAAATGAATTTATTCAAGTATTGCTTTCTAAATATACCTTGAAATGTCTGAGGTTTAATATTTTGAGAAAATTTTTCTTTTGAGACCACTCCATATAAAATGGATTGTTTGGACTAGCAACAGGGTGTGCTTTTACAGCTATGAGCTATATAAAATGAAATGTAATCACCTAACAGAATATGCGTGCCGTTTCGTACAGGAAAGATCTTCATTTGGCAATTCTTTCTGAGGTTGTTTGTCTCAGTATCCAGCTGCCATGTTTTTCTGTTTCTGTTGCAGTCACATATAAATGTATGAATTTGGTCTCGTTAATATTTGCTTTCTGATGGTTGCAGAATAGAGAAAGAGATAGGTCCTGCTCACAATAGGAGCTTTACATGCTCTGTGCAAGTTTCAATTGGTGAAAGTGTGCTTTCTGTGACGGGAAACGAGAAGTCACGAGTAAAAGATGCAGAGAATTCAGCAGCTTTAGCAATGATTCAGGGTTTGCAAGAATCCAAGGTCAGTTAATTATAAATATCCCATGTTCCATTTCTGGATGAAGCAGACAGCACAAAGAGGAATGTATAGCTTATTCAGGTTCTATGTCGATGGTGGAATAGTCATCTTTGGTTGCTGCAAAGTGAATATATATTCAGGTTCTCTGTCGATGGTGCAATAATCATCTCTGGTTGCTGCAAAGTGAATATATATCCAGGTTCTTTGCCGATGTTGCAATAATCATCTTTGGTTGCCGCAAAGTGAATATATATATATATCCAGGTTCTTTGCCGATGATGCAACTATCATCTTTTGGTGCTGCAAAGTGAATATTGGTTGAAATATTGTCATAAGTCTACTTGGAAAATATACAACAGTAGAGAGTGCACCACTTATTACGCGATAATGCAAAAGACATCAGCACCTACCAAAGCAGACTGAGCTCTGGCCAATTCAGGTTAGAAATTTAACATGTAGTTTTGTGTACAAATTAAATACCTTATGTACATGAGCCCCGCTGTTGCCCAAGAAATGCAGTATACATTCCTAATTTCCTATTTGCAGTGGGATTCCATGACCTATTAGGTGGAAAAGTTTTCCCATGTTAATATATATAGAAAACCATGCTGATCTATTCAATCTATCATTTGGAAATAAGGACAAATATGAACCATTAATGGCAAAGACACATCTGACCTAAACACTAAAACTTAAACCATGAAAATTTTCATATAATTCAACAGCAATTTTGACCTTTTTTCCATATGTAATATGATTTGGTGTAAAGATTCGGTAAGAACTAAAAACCAGTATATATAAAGTCATATTTTATGTATTCATTGAGTAACGTAGACACCAAATGTGAGCCAACTCAATTGATTCGGTCTAAAATGTGGATTAGTCCAAAGCAAAAAAAAGTTGTTCAACTTTTACAATGAAAAGAACATTCAGAGAGGAATATGACAATAACATTCCAATCAAATAGTCTAAAAGTGAATTAGTCCAATGGCAGGTGGGGCTACCTTTGATATGATATGTACAAATTACTACCAAAAGTTGACGATGTTCTGTTGCTATCAGTATTTGGATCATTCATTTTACACTTTGCGATAGATACCTTATCTTATCGTACTAATATAGAATTAAAGATTATTGTCAATCAACTTATTAAGAACCAGATTTAAAATTTTGAAGTTATAAATGCAAAGTACTATTGTAATCACCACTGTTTTGTTACAATGATTGCATACAAACGTGGAAAAAAGTAAAATCACGTATTTTCCTTTTCTTTCAGAATATGGTAGTGTAGGAGAAACAAATAACAAAGTAAATATCAACACTATCTTTTACTACTACATAAACACACATTCATGAAGTAATTAATTTGTATAAACTATAAAGATATATATACACCAAAAATGAACACCAGGCGTATTAAAATTCTATTATTACATATGCCAAGCTAACAAGCTTAATAAAATACATTAAATAATCACAAAATGAAGCATCCAAATTTCGGAAACAGCCTCTCTACCTTGATAAGATAGGGATAAAGTTTGCGTACACACTACCCTCCGCAGACCCCCTTGTAGAATTATACTGGGTTTGTTGTTGTAGTAAACACCTATTATACTTGGCGAGTCTTTGATGGATTGTCTGCCAGCCTTTTGCATGTAAAAATCACGACTATGCTTGTCCTTCCAAAATGGATAGAAGTCTCATCTTCAAATATAATGAGACTCGAATCTAAGATCTCTAGTTGCTTCGATATCATGTTGAAGATGTGATCATCTCAACTAAAACTTTAAGTTATTAAAGAGAGCATATTTTTATTTACTTAATTATTACTTCAACACTATATTCGCTGCTTAACAAGCTGTTTTGTGATAGAAATCATAAAGTCTTTTCCATGAATCTTCTCTCTGCATCTTCAACTGTTTGTAGAAGTTGCCAATAAATGTCTCTGCTTTATAAAATAGCTCCTCCTTACTAATCTCCCCCTTTATAACCTCCTCCTTTTCTTCACCTTTTTCTTCTTTAATTACAACCCCTTCCATTTCATTAATCTCCTCCCCACCCCCTATGAAAAACAAACTTGGTGTTGAAGGGCATTTCTTCACTCCAACTTCTTGCATTACAACATCAACAGTTTTCTCTGAAACACATTTTTCAACCGCTTTATTAAAATCAGTAATATTATTGGTCATAACACTAAGATTTTTATTGTTAGGGACAGTTTCTTGTTCATGACTAGTGGTTATGTTTGTGGCTGAAGGTAATTTCTTGTGATTTGGAGATTTGGAGAAGGAAATGAGTGCAATGATGAGAAGGTGAACAATGAAAGAGAGGTATGTAGTTCTTAGTGATGTGGATAACAGAGGGGTGATGATAAGAAGGGTAGCAATGAGCAAAAGCTTTAGAGCTTGGGAGATTTTGGTCATCATGTCCATAAACATCTCAATAGCTACAGGAAAAGAAAGCAAAAGCGATTCCCGTAATAGCAACAAGCAAAATAGGAGCAGCTTAAACCGTGAAAATGGAATTGTGGCAGAGAAATATAAGAGATTCTTTTGATCCTCTATTTGATGAATATAAAGATGTTGGGAGAGGGCTTGAGGGGAAGATAAATGGTAGGAATAGGAGTGATGATGTTCAAGCAGAGAAGTGGTAGTGGAGTTTTAGAACAATGGGGGCCAATTAATTCATATTTATAGATGAAAAGAGAAAAGTATGTGTATGTGGTAAATTGGTTGTCTTTATGTAACTAACAATATAAAAATATTTTTAGTGTAATTTATAAGGAAGATAATGAGATGCTTAAGTTGGTTATCTTCGGAAGCGGATCTTGGATTTAAATTTGATGGGTTGTTAATTAGCATTCAAAGACGGGATCCAGGAACTTTATGGGTTCGAGTTCAGGATTCTACCACAGCCCTCTTGATTTACTGGGTTAGAGATATATTATTTTTACTTATTTAGTGATTTTTTTAAACACATACAGGATCTGAGCCAAAGGTATTGGGTTTAGATGAATATAGAACTTATCCTCTATATTCACCCATATTGGCGCTGAACTTATTGTATCTTTAAAATTGTGGGTTCAAATTTAATATTTACTTAAATATTAGTGAATTGTCACATATATATTTATGTTTCACATGTGGTTTAAGAATTGTAAACCGCCACTAGTTGTCTTTATCCTATTCATTCGTACACCTACTAACAAAGATAATATTTATCAGCTACTCCTAAACCCTAAATTAACAAAACTATAAAAGAATAAACCAAATAAGAAAGCAAGAAAAATAGGAGTTGAAAATTATGGTAGACCAGTCGAATTTTGCTACCTTAATTTTCACTTAATAGTAAAAGTTCGACACCGAACCTTGTAATAGCACTTGTATGTAATGGTAAGTTGGTCTGTCTCAAGTTGCCTATTGTTTCATTGCATTGGCTGTGGCAGATTAATATAGCTTCTCGCAATATGCATAGGGACAGCCCAGTGCATTAAGCTCCCGCTATGCGCGGGTCTGGGAAAGGACCGAATTACAATGGGTCTATACTTTGTTTTATTGTTTATGAATGTCAATTAACAGAGGCGGATGTAGCTCACTGGCTACGGGTTCAAATGAACCCATAACTTTCGAAGCGGAGTAAAAATTTGTATGTAAAAATTCATTAAAATTGTAAAAATAGTAGATATGAACCCATAACTTTAAAAATATAATGGGTTCAATGTTAAAAATGTTAAAATTGAACCCATAAGATTTAAATTCTGAATCCGCCTCTGTCAATTAATAGATTTTGCTTGAGAAATCAGATTATTCAATGCGGCGGAAACAACAATAATTATGTCGCTGTCCCAAATAAGTTGAAATTGGCTATATGAATTCTTTATTAATTTAAGCTCAACTCATTTAATAATCTTACCAACTAACTACGCCTTTTGAGTTTTGATATATACATGTCATGGGGTGCTTGATTTCATGCTCTGAGTGTAGGAATGAAACTTGTGTTATCATATGATTTGGATATATATTAATACAAGAGAAGATGTTTAAAACCTCTTTGGACATAAATTATATCTTTCTCTTCTTCGAAAATCGAATTGAAATCGACCGAATATTATTTCGTTCCTTGGCCTAAATAATTCAACATAAAATTGTAACAGTCCAAGTCCAAGAAGTCAAGAGATCACAATTCGAATCATGTTTTGAAAATGTTCTACTCTATATAGATATCACAATTGTTTACTTGAACTTTCTCTTTCCCATAATTATATGTAGTGGTGGCAAAATGGTTAAAAGAAAATAGTTATCCATCCATATTATCCATTAAAAAATAAGTTGGATAAAGAACTTTTTAAAATAAGTCAAATATGGATAAGAACTATATTATCCACTTAGAAAATGAATAACGAATGGATAACTAATTAGTTTAACTTTTACATTTATAAAGTTTCAAATTGAGGGTTTCTCAAGTTTAGGAGACTAAAAATTCTCTCAAGATCATATTCAAGAAGTCATAGATAATATGGTTACCTATATTATTCGCCAGTTAACTCATTTTTTATCCGTATTAAATATGAATCGGGTCGGATAATTTATTCGTTTTTGCATTACCCATTTTAACCCGTCCATATCCGACACGCCCGTTTGCCCCCTAACTATACGTAAGCAAAATTCACACATAATAAAAAATACTTAAGCATGGCAAGTTTGTCATAAAGTACTAGTAGAGTCTAGCCAAAAAGACTTTGGATAATATAAATAAATTAATAAAAAAGAAACTTACACTATAAATTTTAATTGGACAAGTTGTGATAAGGTCGGTGGAGAAGACGATCCATCACATCTTTTCCCCTCATTTTTTCGTTTTGGAGAAAGCAACTGTGGCTGCTTCCTTTTAGGAATTTACGGCTGAACTACGCAAATATCCTCTTTTTAGGTTTTAGAAAGTTGTTTAACATAATAACTCTTGGGAAATTATTTTTTTAGACAATGTAGCTCTTGAGAAATTTTCCGGCTATTGTTTAAATAGGAGTCCTAAAACGGTTATTTGTGCACTCGCCGGTTCTTCTTGGTCGATTAGAACACGTACGATAGTTCGTGCTTGTTTCGCTTTTGCTGTTGTTTATGAAATTTTAGACAAGAGTGAGTTGCTTTAGTGGTGAGCACCCTCCACTTCCAATCAAGAGGTTGTGAGTTCGAGTCACCCCAAGAGCAAGGTGGGTAGTTCTTGGAGGGAAGAAGTCGAGGGTCTATCGGAAACAGTCTTTCTACCCTTGGGTAGGGGTAAGGTCTGTGTACACACTACCCTCCTTAGACACCACTAGTGGGATTATAATGGGTTGTTGTTGTTGTTTATGAAATTATTTTTATATAGCAAAAAACAGTAAAAAATAGTACGGACTAGCCAGTTTTCGGGCTGGTAATTGAAAAATAACCAGCATTTGTAAAGTCATTAAAAAATAGTCACTATTTTGCTGCAACACGGAAAGTTTCAGCATAATATACTGGAGATTGGTGCACCTGTGTATGAACTTCCAGCACATTATGCTAGAACTCTACCACATGGAAAGTTCAAGCATAATATACTGGAAGTTTACATGTAAAAAATTCGAATTCCAATATATTATGTTGGAATATTTTTCGAATTTTGAACAGTATTTTCGTTCAGATTTATCTTTACATGAAAAATGATTAAATTTCGATTACTTTTGAAACTATGGTTATTTTCCAACCACCACTTATAAATCTGGCTATTTTTTAATTTCACATGGTAGAAAAGGACTAAATTGTAATTTAGTATGCATGGTGATGTCGTTAAGATTAAAACTCGTGAAACTGTAACTTCAATTTTAATCGCTTCGTTCTTGGATTATTTCCTAGGAGGCATATTTTAGTTTTTGGCCAAAATAATATGCGGGCCCTAAACTTGTCCCGATTTTCCTCTCAAACACCTTATCAAAGGCATGTTTCAATTGAACACCTGTACTACTCAAGATTGTTCCTATTAGAGGAAAATTAACATTGAACGACTAAATTTTCCAGATTTTTCACGAGGAAAAAAAAAAATCAAAAGGGGAAAGGGACACATTTATTAGCTCCTCTTGTAGACCGTCTAAGCACATTTCATTCGTCTTGATCAATCAAGCGAATCGCTGTCACTCCTTGACGTTGTATGTCGTAATATACATTTCTTGAATACAGTCCAATGCTTCGTACCTCCTATTTCTTCTTAAGGTAAGATAAGGGCAAGTATGATGAGGTAGGAGCATTCCGTCAACACTCTTTTTGGCGTAATCAAGAAGTCTTATATCCTCCAAATCGCAAAGAATTTAAACTGAAAGAATCATCAGATGACAATGGTCATCATTGTTCGACTGATTTGGTGCTGGTCTACAGTAGTGGAGCTAGGGAGCGAAAGGGGATTCACCAAAAAAAATTATACGGTATATATTAGATTTTGAATTCCCTTAACTTCTTCACGAATTTACTTTTTTTATTTTTTCCTATTCATGACAATCCTGCCTCCCTACTGCTGGTCTATAGTACTACCATTCTCTAGCCTTTTCTAGTTGTCATCTTGTGGTCACACTAATTCTCAAATCTTATCAAGTTTATGATTTATTCGACTCACTCATGATTTAGTATAGACAATACAAACTCCAATTGAACAAATAATAGCAGATTGCGTGGACGAATGACACTTTCGACTTTTCACTTCAAGGACTCAGACGATGACTTTAGATTATTCACTACAAGGATTGGAATCGCTACCCAACTCTACCTATATAAAAGAAAAGGAATCGACCACTAGGTCCCGAGCAATTCTACCTTCTTTCAATTATCCATCGCTCATATCACTTTGTCTCTTGGACTCTTCAACCTGATTTCTACATTTATAGCTTGAAAAAAGCAAAAGAAGCCCTCTTTTAATGACTATTCTCAGCTTCCTTGCTTTGGTAGTAGGATAGATTCGACTATATGTATCTCCACTTTTCGCGTCACTCCATCTAAGCTCATCTTAGTCCAACATTATATAATAACTACAACAAGCCCTTTTATTCATTTGAAGTTACAAAATCATCAACTTGTCGAAAACAATCTTCAATTGTCTCAGCTTCATTTGATTTTACAAGTTCACTTGCTTTTCCTATTCACAAAAACGAATTCAATATTTGTCCTTCCTGTTCGAGATCTGAACACAATATATTGACACGGAAGACATGAAAGTTGTGGACAGGGGCAGAGCTACAATTCTTCTTATGGGTTCGGCACCAGTAGCTTTAGCCCAAATGATGTATTTGTATTTCAAAATCTACTTAACATGTATAAGTAACTTAACCAGAATCTAGTAAGCTTGACTTTTCTAGAATGCAGAACCCACAAACTCAAAATTCTAGCTCCGTCTCTGATTGTGAAATGTATCGAATGTGCAATTGTTTTCGTCTCAGATCCTAATTCATTTTAAAGATTGATTCATAAGTAAGCAAAACTATTCAACAAATAGAAAAAAATGGTTTGCAAGTTTCAATATAAATCAATAAAGTACAAGTAATTAATCGAGTCGCAATCACGAACAATCTACACCATTTCCCCACCACCCGACTTTTCCCTTTCATCCTTTTTTTCCCCTTTTACCAACGGGTTGAAGAAAGGATAAATCCACATGTAATTCTCCATAGTTACCTGGTGTGGCTTCGTAGTGACGTTGATTCCCGCTTTAATAGCTTGAAAGCTTTTGATATTTACTGTTTGAAGGGAAATAATAAAGATTACTCTAGATTGAGCTTCTCAACAGATATGGCACTATACATCCCAGCAAAGCACCAGCAAGAACCTGCATTCATCTCAATAACAATAACTTCCAGTTAAGGAAAACATAATTTACTCTGTTAACTTCCAGTCAAGGAATACATAGTTTACTTTGTTATCACACTAGTTTATTTTATTTGAATGGTTTTATCATGTTAGTTTCTCCCACGGCATTAAGTGACATATTGGTTGTAGATGTGTCCAAAAATGAGGTACATAAAAAATGCTATCTTTTCTCAGATTATTGCCGTCACCAAATGGAAATGAAGAATGGTAATCCTCAATTTCTTAAACTGCAAAAGAAAAGTATAAACCAGAATATCATGGCAATCATACCTGAAAGGGAGTGTGTCCAAGTGAATCTCGGAGAGGTCTAACATTGGCAACAGGGTGCTCAGGAGGCAATTCACAGACTATCTGATTCAACAACTGCATCAAACCACCAATTTTAACACTTATTGTGCATAAGTAGAAACTTCAAAGCAATTTTACTGCAAACCAGCAAGTGCCAATATCGACTACCACAACTATTTTACAACCACATAGTTGTAAAATACGGAAAAATCATCAGACGGTACCAACCAAATTGTTTAAGCATAGAATGAAGAATAACTTTGAAATACCGAGGCTGATTTAAAGAAAAAGTTCTTTCTAATCGGATAAATCATCCATCAGTAAAATAATAAAAACATGATAAACAAGGTGGGAAAGAAAAATTACTTCAGCTTGGCGACCAGCATGAAGCCTAACACCAGTAGCATCATACATTACCTGTAATAAAGGAAATTCATATAGGTTAATGAGGGAAAACTAAAAGTTCATTATGCAAAATATAAAGAAGAAAAACTGATACAAGAAGCGGCATCTGGATAAAGTTGTAGACATCTAAGGGCAATATACATAAATCCTTTATTTCGCTCTCTCCCACCCCCAGATAACACACATTTAAAGGCTAGGCGCTCTCTTCTGAAGAAGCATGCATGTTACACGTATATGTATGTATGCACGTGCATATGAATTCCCAGGCTATGCGCTCTCTTCCGAAGAAGCAAATAACCAGGATGTATGACATTTCATCTGCTTTCTTCTGTTCATACATCAAAATATTTAAGTAGCATTCAGATGCAAAAGAAGCTAATCAAGACAAGGAAGTTGCCAAAGGTAACAATAATTATGTGAAACAGGAATTTTTACTTGGATAAACAGAAAAAACTGTAACAGAAAATCATGTGATTCATCAAGATCAGGACAAAGTGTCAGCAAATAAAAAGCAAGTGAACACTGACTGTCTTTTTCTTTTTCTCCTTGTTCTCGTGTTGAGGTAAAATTGAGTCATGTCTCTATAAGGAAAACATCAGCAGAGAAAATTTGAAAAAAAAAAAAACAGGACAAAACCTGGTTAAGAATTACTCACAACACATGCCAAAACCACCGCAATTGCGAAGACAGATCCTCCAGCTCCTTCTTGTAAATAAACTGCCATTACCAGAGCAGTAACAGTTGCTGAATGTGATGATGGCATTCCACCTGAGCTAAGCATCCTTTTTGAATCCCATCTCCTCTCCTTGTACCTGCAAAATCTAACAGGGCATATTCAAAAATTAACCAAGAAATAGAAAGAAAAGGTAAGAGAAAACATGGTAATCATGAATAAGTAAGCTCTTGAAATTCAAAGCTCAATCCACACAAAGTCCATGTTTCTCTACTTTTTTTGTCAATAACAACCACCTGAATGAACATCTATCATAAGATCCGAGTACATGCTATCATGCACCTTCAATCTATGTTGTCATAACAAATAAAACTACGACTCACTCCACCCTTCATTTAGCTAGTTTAACATTATGTTTGTTTTGACGAAAGGGAAGCATAAGGGGCCTTGTTGATCTAATTTCCAAGGAAGTAGTTAACCTCCAACTAGCCTCAACAACAACAACCACCCAGTGGAATCCCACAAGTGGGGTTTTGGGAGGATAGTGTGTACGCAGACCTTACCCCTACCTATGAAGGTAGAGAGGTTGTTTCCGAAAAACCCTCGGGGCTCAAGAACGTTAAAAAAAAAAAAAAAAAAAAAAAAAAAAAAAAAAAAAAAAAAAAGGTCCTTAGCCAATTAAAGGATAATAGTCCTTAGCGCTCTCTCTTACATCTTTCGTTTTTTCTTTTTCTGAAAGAACCACTCTCTTTTACATTTCTTCCAGGAACCCATCCTCTCACTCCAAGCAAAGACAGCTACAATAATTTTCAGTTTTACACATTAAAGATTGTGTTACATAATTTCAGCTTCTCCTACAACTGAGAAGAAGCTGTATTCTGAACCTAGACATCGATAAAACAGTAATTAAGTATCCCAGTTCAATTAGAAACAGACCAAAAATGACATTTAGATTTCACAGATATCCTCTTTTGCAGTTCTGCAATGTTAATTCAGATTACAAACTACTCTATCGTACTTCAACTATGTATTAGCAATTCAAATTTTTCCTTTAACAAAAAGAAGAGAACAGGGGGACTAGTCAACATTTTCTTTTGCAGTTATGTTCAGTAAAGTGACGTTATTCAACCAGTAATTCTCCACCCTCCTAATGGACCTTGATATATAATGATATGGGCTGCCATTGGCCCATATCACTTAATTTTTACGTTGAACATGCAATTCATCCCATGTGAGCCAATTTTCAGCATATCAATACTCATATAGACAACAAACATGCAAGTAGATTATTCACATACTTCCGCTGCAATTCCGTAAATCTTCATTATTGCATTTTGCACTGGAAGATCATCAGAGTTCCTTCTTTTCTATATAGGTTGTGTGGATGGTGAAGTTTAAAAGACACCTCCCTATTGTATTAAGTAAGCTAAAAGTCCTACTGTGACATTTGAAATTTTATCCTTCAGTTTCCCCAACCTATTCAACCGTTAAAATGTGAAACAAATGCACTTATAATTCTTACTAAGATAATAGGTGGAAAAATTAATCTCACAGTGCGCATAACAGTTCTTTTGTTCATGTAACATACACAATGGTGCTTTTATTTTGGTTAGGTCATGCCGTATTTTAAGTTCTGGGATACATGGTCCGCTGGCATTATCCTGCTCCTCCCCTTTTAAATATGACTTGTATATTTATCACTCTACTGCTTTTACAATACCAAAAGAAACTCAATATCGTTGGTATTGGCATATTAAGTGTTATGGAACTTTACCTTTAGCATTTGAAAGTTGATAGTAAAAGCAAATATTAGAATTATGTAGATCATGATGAGACTAGGTGATTTTAGCATGACAGAGAGGGAAATAAATATAATTAAGCCATGATCGCATAAAGGACCTGAATATAGGATCAGACACCTTTTCCAGCAGAGAAAAAGACCAGAAGTTTCGAAAAACACAAGTGGATCTTAACCTATTTCAACACTATAGGGAGGTAATCAAAATTCATCACCATGTGAAGGTAAAGGAAGAAATGTAACACTCCGTAAATTCGGACTAGGTGCGGACATGTTAAATGAGTATTAATGTTATATTTTAGACATATGAAGCCCTATCGGGATGAGTATGGGTGAAAATAGTCGTTTGGAATCAAGACGGAGAGTGAGGTGCATAAGATTCGATAAAATCGATTAAGTTTATGGAAGGTCTGTCTTTCAGCCTGATATCATGGATTTATGTTAGGAATTGGAGAAAACTCAAAACATGAAAGTTGTAGCCCTTTGAAATAGCTTTCCAACGATATATTGTGGAGCCCGAACGGATCCCTGTGCAAAAAGTTATGTGCATTTTACTAGACAAAGCGAAGTATGCGCGCCCAGATGGTCCCGTGCACAGCCGCGCACTTGTGGCAGTGCTACTTCCCTGTTGCGCGTCCAGGTGCGCGAGAGCGCACCCGGGGGGTCATTTTATAAGCCCTTCTTCGTCCCCCACACCCCAAAACACAAAAACTTGCTCTAGAAAGGGAAGCTCTCAAAAACCTAACTCCTAAGGTCCCTCCATCATCCAAGGTAAGTTCTAATGGTGATTCTAAGTTAATTCCAATTCTCCAATACCTTATTAACATGGGTAAACCCTTCAAATCATTAGATATTCGATTGGAACATCATGGTTGAGAAAAGAAACCCTAAAACTCGAATTCAAGAGGATTGAACGTCAAAAGGTAATATCTTCACCCTCTAATTGATTATAGCATTTGCTAAATGATTATGGACTCTAAGTTCATGAGATATGAGTTGATGGGTTTGATAGAAAAGCATAAACGGTTATAGATTTGGGTTGTTGGTTGTTGATTATTGATTAAGAGTGTTGTTTATCTTATGGGTGATGAACAATGATATTGATTATAACAATTTGAGATTTTAGAATTTAAAGAGAATGGGTTGTTAGGTATAGAAACACCATTAATGAGGGCTATGGAGCTTTATACCCACCAAGTGTTTGATAAAATGCTTAAGTGACCAAAACATGAGTATTATTGCTAATATGAAATCCCTTGGACTTGTATTGATATAGATTAAAGTTGAAAGGGTTGACGAATGTTGTATTACGCTCAAGAGTGGGAAGTTAAGGTATGTGAGGCTAACTCTCTATGTTTGGGAATGTTAATGATTCTCCCTACACTACGTTTCTTTTACAACATTACTAATTGCCTCTAAAATATAGCCAAGCTTAGTGCCTTGAATAGTTGCAGAACTTCTATTCTCTAGCTTCATAATTCATTCATGACTTTCATTCCAAACGTTGCGAGCTCATTGCGTAATCAATATAGACTTGTGTTTGATACCCATGAGTCTCAGTCTAGATTACTAAGCATGTCATAACCAGTTGAAACTTCAGTTCTCATAATCAGTTCATGAATACATGTCTCATTCTAGTTCTATTCAGCATTCCAGTATCATGTAACTCAGTATGGTTCAGTATTTCAGTATCATGTATTGCAGTATGATTCTCAATTCCTGATTTTAAATCCCTGAATGTTGAACACCTGTATTTGGGCCTGAGGCCGCAGTTTATGCTTTATGCATCTTTGGGCCTGAGGCCGCAGTTATGTATACGTATACTTGGGCCTGAGGCCGCAACTTGTGCACATATATATTGGGCCTGAAACCGCAGTTTATTTATTCACATTAAGGGTGGCATGTGGGCCGGTTAGGACCGGGACCAGCCCAGGACCGCAAGCCCACATGGGCGGTGGGCCTAAACGGTCCTAACCGGATAGGACCGGAACCGTGGGGTGGTGGGCCGGGTAGTGGGCCGGTCTCATAGGCGAGGCCCGCGAGACCGGGATCGTTTGGGGCCGGGACCGGCTGAGAAGTGGGCCGGTTCAAACGGTCCTAAACGGTCCTATCCGGGCCCAACGGATAATTTTTTTTTAAAAAAAAAAATTTGACCGTTTGGCCATTTAAAAACTAGCCGTTTGGTCTGCCAAAATAGCCGTTGGCTATTTGCAAAATAGCCATTTAACCCCCCAAATTTTGTTTTAACCCCAAACTTTTTATAATTACACTTTTTCCCTATTTTCAACTATAAATACCCCCCCGTTCTTTCATTTTTCTCACAAAATCATCAATCTCTCTAATATTCTTCTATAATTGCTTACATAATTATTTTTCAACAAGTTGTTCGTCAATTCGGTAAACTCGTTCCAACTCTTAAGTTTTAATATTATAGTTTTGTTTGTTTTATTTACTTTGCTTGATTAATTAAGATGGCTTATTCCTTAAAAAAAATGTTTAGTAAAAATAAGGAAAAATCCAAGAGTGGTGAATCTAGTAGCCAATCTGTTCCTCCTCCACTTCCCCCGGCTCCCCGGCCCAAACGTGTTACCCGTCCTACACCTCCTATTCTTGATAGCGATAATAGTTTATTACAATTTACCAAGAGTCAATTTTGCCATAATATTGCACCCGGTGAACAATTAAACCATAAATATATGAATGCTCTTTATGGTAATCCAACTATTGATGAAAATGATGATGAAGAAATAGATTTTGATGAAACGCAACCGGATGATGATACACCCACTAGTCCTGCTCCTGAAGTTAACCCAACTAATAATAATCCAAATGATCCCCCGTCTGACCCTCCTATTACTGCCCCTACTTTTTCTAGACAACCTTCTAAACGGACAGAAACATCTCTTGTTTGGCCATTTTTTACTCAACTAAGAGAAAAAAATAGGGCTAAGTGTAAAACTTGTGGCAAAGAGTTNTCATTTTTCAGAGGGTGGTAAAATTTATCAACTTGCTATTGATTCCATGAGAAAAAAATTTAAAAAATATTTTTTCCCTATTCTCCCTATTTATGGTGTTGCTGCATTGTTAAATCCTACTATGAAATTAGGAGGTCCTCAATTTTGGTATGAAACTGTTTATAATGGTTTAGCACTTGAAGATGAGGAGTTGTCTAAACTTGCGAACGCAATAGCCTCAATTAAAATAAATGTTCAAACTATTTATAATGCTTATCAAGTTGCATTAGATCATGCTAGACCAAATGTTCCAACTCCTTCTTCTTCTAGTTCTCAATCATCTAAAAGAACTGCGGGAGTAAGAGCACTTAGTGCTTGGGCAGGGTTCAGGGGTTCTCAAGGTTCTAGTACTAGTGATTTTTCACAACTAAATGAGCTTGAAGTTTATTTGTCACAGGGAATTGAGGAAGAAACCCGACGGCTCCTTTAATATTTTGGAATGGTAGAAGGACAAAGAAAAACACTTTCTGATTCTTTCAAGGATGGCCCGAGATATTTTAACTATTCAAGCTTCAACAGTGGCATCAGAGAGCGCTTTCAGTCAAGCAAGATTTCAACTCGATGATTATAAAGCGTCTATGAGGGAGAGCTTGGAAAAATCAATACTTTTCAGAGATTGGATCCGTTCGGAAAGAAGAAATTTTGGACTTGCTGAATCACAACCAGAG